ACCTAGCCAGTCGACCATGTTATTATTTATATTTGAATGTAGTACAAGATACAAGTAATTACTGGAATGCCCCTGATTAGTGATGGGACACCCAGTAACTTAAAACATTAAACAGGCTTAGGCTCATTAACACAGGCCCAGTTACAGGATAGCTTGAACTTAAGTATGGACTAATAAGAACTCTTATCAGCCGAACACTCATATAAAGAGACATCATTCAACATTCTAACATAAACAAAGCCTACTTAATCTAACATCTAAACCTGTGCTGTACAACATTATGCTTGGAAAATCACAAGTAGAAGAATATTACCAACTAGGTGAAAGAAGAAAAGGATTAGTTCTAAAATTAACCTATTTGGCAACAATTACCATCTTTTTTTTTTCTGAAAATGATTACCAACTCTTACAAATACAAATTGCCTCTTCTTTAAAGAGGTTTCTTCCTTGTGGTGTATTATATAAATAAAATATACTCAAATTGTCTTGACTTTTAATTGTGTATGAAAACAAAACAAGTTAACAGTACATGGGAAGATATTGACATATAGATGGATAATTGAATAACAACAAATATAAGCCAAGAAAATATGCTTAGACAATAGGATTGCAAGACAAATGGTAAAGTTCCTAAAAGGTCGGTAGAGTCCATGACCATTCCTATCTTTCTATATTTCAACCACCATTTGTGAACAATTATATTCTTATTTCGATATGAACAGTGTAGTTGTTCATTGCAAGAACCTAATAAGAAGGGTTTGTAGAAATTGATACTTGTAACTTGTAGACATTCCTTATTGCCTCAATTTTGAAGCATTGCAAGAGAACTGACCTAATCCATCATTTTGTGATTCCATAGAAGCCAAGCTTAGAAAAAAAAGTCTAAAATGCTCAAAGAGAGCTCTAATGTATATGAATCCCACTATGATAACAGGCAGGCATACTGGTATCATAAAACTGGTAGCAATCAACTGGTATCATGGAAAATGCTGATGATACCCTTCTGGTATCATGGAAATTGCTGATGTATTTGTTCAGGTCTTAATGTCTTTCAATATCCAAAAACCAGTAGGTAAAGCATCTCAAAAAGGATGTCTGCAGATGAAAACTTACATTCTCTTTATAGCTGTCATCACTTCTCCAATGAAATCAGGAATTTGACCAGTAATCATGCAATTTCTAAGTATCCTAAAGAACATAAAGAAAGCCAAGTAGCAAATGAGTGAAAGGAACCACAGACAGAACAATATAAAATTATACCATGCACATTTCGCTCACAATTCACTCATAAGTTTCATGTCTTTGAGAATAGGAAAACTCATATTTGATCCCTTCAAGTCAGTAACCCTCCTGAAATTCAAAACTTATCATATTAGAAAATTCATACGGTTACTCTATCTTTAATGCTGTTATACTGATAGCTGTAAAAATTGAAGAAAGGTCACTACACTTGATATTTCAGTAAAAAATGACTGGAGCGTGGCCTCACAGTTGAGTTAGGCTTTTCAAAAGGGATACTGTAGAAGGAATAGGGCCCTCCAAGGATGTTCCCTGCATATCACTGCAACAGTTTAAAAGTAGAAAATCATATAAGGAATCTCCAGATAACATGATTTTTTTCTATCACTGTTTTGATCAAACTCAGAAAATGCAGAACAATGGAATCTAGGTAAATTTCAAGTTACTCACAGCCTACTAAGTTTGGTCCAGTTTCCAATGAAATCCGGTATCCTCCCAGATATACTGTTTCCATCTATCCTACTGCATGCAGTGAACAAATTTAGAATAAATCATTTTAAAATTGATAATTGCCCTAATTAATAACACAAACATACAAATCTGTCATGTTCTTCAGATTCCCAAATGTTTCTGGTAATGGACCAGTGATATTGTTTGCAGAAAGAAGGCTGCATAAATGAGTAAAAAACATAAATCAGTTCAAGTACTGCTCACTCAAAGTGAATATCTGGAAGACATGTATCCATTTTGCATTTAAGCATATAAGAAAGGGGACTATGGATTGTGTCAGAACTCAATCTTTTGTAGGCACTCCAGAAGCAACCTGATGCTTTATGGCTTCTTGCAGGTACCTTTTGAGTATACAAGAATGGGAACAAAAGAGAACACAACGGAGCAAAAAATAACTCTCTACTAATGATCCTAAGGCCCCCATGGCCCAACACCCCCACCTCGAAGGGCAAAATAGAAAAAAGACAAGTTTGCAACCATGGTCACATCTCCACTCAATATTTAAAAACCAAGTTCATGGGACTGGTAAAAATTTTCCTCCCATTGACCAAGGTTTTAAAAGGCTAAAGGTGCAGTTGAGGCGTAATGGCTCAAGAATTAAAAAAAAAAAAAAAGATCAACTAAAGTTTTCTAAATAATAAATAAATATGGAAAATTATGGTTTGCTCCCCCTCAGAAAATTTTATTGGTTTTCTGACTGACACTATTCCCAACTGTACAAATACATAAAAATTGCTGAGGTGGAGGAATCAATAAAAATCCCTAATAAAAAAACATATGGTATACTAAGATAGAATGATAGAATTTGCAAGCATCTATAAATAGAAGTCTATAAGTAACAAATTCTAGGCTTTTAGCATTAAAAAAGTAATCAACTAAAAACTATAAAGCTTTTATATTTCAAGTAAAAATTCCACATCATCAAAGTTTATTTCACTAATGAGATCTTCAATGAATCAATTGGCACTAGAATTCTGGTTACCCTGTATTTTAGAAGAAAGGAAAGAAGCCGATTAGTTCAATATATACAAAGAAAAAAAAAAACAATAAAAAAAAGAAATTCATTAGGAAGAGTAATAAGAGGCAAAAATCAGGTGTATGGTATTTCGGGGATTTCTGGGCCATAGAGGGGATCAAGGCTCCTCCAGGTCCCCCCTGGCTCCCCTCCTGGTGCTATAGATTTCTAGTCACCCAAACCAAAAGTGTAGAATATAAGAAAAAAAACAATTGATTTGGCCAAGAAGAGAGAATGATGAAGGTTCTTCTTGGCCCTTGCTGCATTGAACTCTAATAAAACCCTAAGAGAAACTAGGAACTCTATTTGCTCTATTAGACTATTAGCCTTTCATTGTAATCTCTTTATTTGGCCCATAATTACCATAATGCCCTTTCCATATGTTTCAAACTCAAAAGGAACAATTGTTGTAGGTTTTTGAGGCTTATGCCTTTTTATTCGTCACACCTTGAGGCTCGAGGCTTACACCACTTTCTAACAAAAGCTTAAGCCTCAACCAAAGTTATGAGGCTAAAGCCTTGAAGCAACATTTGAGCACCTCACCTCAAAGCTTAAGACCTTTAAAACCATAGCATTTCCTTGTTTAATTTGATCCAATATCATCAATACACAACAAATTGATATTGATACCATAAGTTTTTTTTTTTTTCTTTGCAATGAACTGTATCAAGGGAGAATATTTGGGATTTATGAATTATGACAGTATAAAAAGAGAAGCAGAGGAAATTAGAGCAAGAGTCTTACAGTCTCCTCAACCGGCTTAAATTACCAATCTGTGGAGGAAGGGTTCCTCCAAGCTGATTATCTTCCAAGACCCTGTAAGATCCGGATTTAGATCAGAAACATAAGAGAATTTGTTATCACAATCTTCCTGAATGTTAGATCATGACTCAGTACTCACAGCTCTTCAAGCGTTTCAATATTACCAAGTGCCTCTGGAATTGATCCACTAATGCGGTTTCCAAGAAGGCTTCTGCAATGCACAATAGTTACAAACTTTCAGTGATATCATGGTACCAATTGATAGTTAGAGCCATGGGACTACAAACACAACTAAAGAAGTTGAATTAGAGCTTACATGGTGACTAGAGGGATCCGAGCCCAACTGTCGGGAATGGTCCCATTCAGATAGTTGCGACTAAGATCTCTGTTTTAACAACAAAAAGAAGAAGCCAAACCTTATATTAGGAGAAGCCATTTCTCAACTTCAAATGACAGTTGGCGGGAAAATGGCGCCAATATGCTGAAGTGGTTATTGATCCGGATCCTCTACAGTCTACCTGTACAGTAGTAGACCATAGAGACAGAACGTTTACGAGTAGATAAACGATTTTAATTACATTAATCAACAACCTCTCTATTGACTCTGCTGATACGATCATAATCAGGGACGATCATGCCACACTACTGAAGAATTGATCCAAATTTTAAATTCACTTACATCTCTTTTAAAAATGAAAGATTCCCAAATTCCTCGGGTAGAACTCCAGTTAAGTTCAGACCCTTCAACTGACTGAAATGCAGAAATTGGAAGGGTACCCAAATTAGAATGCAAACATAAATCCTAAAAATGGCTAAGAAAGCTAAGACGAGTGAGAGAGAATAGTGGATGGACATACATATTGGTCACGTGGCAAACAGTGGAGCTGTTGAAGGAACAGTCGCAGGTGACATTGCTAAATGTATTCTTATTGTCAGTAGTATTCCAGGTAAAACCGCCATTACAAGAAGTTGGGCTGAGGCGCCAGAATCTGTTATTATTCAAATTCTTTGATATTTTTTGAAGAGTCCGTACTGCCGAGAGTTTTAACCATTTTGTTAACTAGCAATCTTTAACAAGTAACAACCAATGCAGCAATAAAAAAAAAACTAACAACCAATGGACTCTTAAAAAAATAATAAGAAAAGAAAGAAAAGGTTTTGATTAGTGGCAGAAAACATAATTAAATTCTGCGCTTATCCCAATTTCTTGGAAACCAAGTAACAACCTCCGCCCTGAATTTGAAATCCGTTAGAACTTCGAAATCCAATTCCAATCTTTTCATTTTTTCCCTGAAACTAGATAAATTTGGGAGTTCCCTCCATTTCTGCTCAAATTGGCTATGTTATTTTTATGGAAGGTTTATTGACATTCCCTAGTCAAAATCAGCTTAACATCAGCTTCGAAAGTTCTACTTGGAACTCAAGGATGTGAACATTTCCACCCAAAAAAAAAACGAAAAGGATGTTAACTGTTAACATCTTTTTTCATGGGAAATTAATATATTTTTCTTATATATTGTGTTGTTCAATCCACCCATAAACTTATTACAGTTGGAAGTTGGAACAGTAACAGGTGGGCCTTGCAGCATATATGTAACCTTGTTAAAACCTAAAAAAAATTATAATTTCAAAAATAAATTGGAAAAATAAGAAGTCCTCATTAAATAAATTCCAATAAACAAATTCCACGGAAACAGCCTACTGGCTACTGCAATTGGGCTAAGTCAAGTGATATCAAACTCACCGAAACTACATCATAGCCTGTTATATGGCCCAATTTACTTTATCAGTTTATCCGGTAACCTATTAACTAACATAGTTTTATTAACTTACTTTAAAATTAATTTTATAAATATTTAAAAATTTAAATAGTTAATAAAAAGTTAAATAAAAAACAATAAAAATTATTAGCAGATTTAGCAAAAATTGAATTCCTACTCCAATTCCATGAAATTCATATGATTGGCCATCCTAATTCAAGGTTTATTGACGTTCCCTAGTCAAAATCAGCTTAACATCAGTTTCAAAAGATCTACTTAAACCCTTTGAAAGTTTTTCAAATGAGGTCTGAATTCGATAGTTTAAGGATGTTAACATATATCACCAATTTTTTTATAAGTTTGTTAATATCTTAATTTTTATGGGAAATTAATATATTTTAATATATATATATATATATATATATATTATGATTTTATAATATATTTATATTTGTATTTGTAATGTATATTTTTATTACCCGAGAATTGGTCTCTCATATGAAAAATCTTTCAGTATTAAAAGAAATGGTCCACCTAACAAACGGAAATCTTGTAGCATCATTCTGCTATTCAGATTAGGGCTATACACAGGTTTGGATTTAATCCGATATGAATTGGAGTCTAATTTGTTTGAATTAGATTTGGGTTTTTTTGGATCTGAAAATATGTTATATTTATTAAGTGGATTTAATTCAGATATTAGTTGATCCAATATGATTATATCAAGTTTTAGTATTAAAAATCTTTTAAATTAAAAGTGTGGTTTGGGTTTAGATAAAACTTATTTTCTATTTAGAAAATGTATTTAATTTTACATATTTATACTGATTTCATATAAACTTATTAAAATTTTAATCAAATCGGATATACAAGCCTTGTATGTAGCAGATGCAGATCTATTCTGGCCTGCAACCAAGGCTGTTAGCTTTTCCTGTAACCACCAATCACAAACCAATGGTCGACTTGTTGACTTGTTAGATCACTAGATGGGCCCGACTGACAATACATTGATGGGTATAAATCAATGGTCCTGATATATATATGAACACTTTATTTATTATACACAGTTGTAGTCACACTCACACACTGGATGAGTTGGTTGTGATTAGCGAATGGGTGGCTCTAGCCTGAGAAATTTGACCAAATTAATGGTTCAACAGTGACTGGTCAACCAAGTCAAGAAAATCAACGACTCTAGATTCTTGTACGGAATGCCCATCAATCCAGAAGACCAGAACGACCAGTCACTGACTCACCGCCATGAACGAATGCTTGAGTGCTCAGCAGGCCAACACTTAGCACTCAGCGGCATACTATGAACAGTATCACAAAAGCACAGATAAGATCATAAGACGGACTGTCGCTGTACGTAGCGATGGCAACAGGAATTGCAATCCAAAGAATGAATCAAAAGATTTTGAATTCCTTTCTGTTGGAGTCAGATAGAAAGAAGCTAGAACTCGAAGAACAGCGAAATGGAATCTGAAATGTTGAAAAACAACAAGGGAGGTGTGTTTGGTTGGGTGGAGATCTTCCGTTCAGGCAGAACAACAAAAAATGATAAAATCTGAAAATAAAGAACTTCTCGACATGGAAAATCTTGAAGACTTCTCAACCTATTCTATAGAAAACAATGTAGACGGACTACAACATCGCACATTTCGAATTTTCAATCTGTTATCGGTCCGATACCGCTACGATAAACTGAGACGAAACAGGACAGTTATAGCGGTTCCTCACAGTAAAATTAGCAATGAAAAGAAAATTCGTTTCAAAAACCGCAAGTTTCAATTGCAAAACGAAGGATGATTTCATCGGTCAGAGAGAGAGAGAGAGAGAGAGAGAGAGAGAGAGAGGGAGGGAGGGAGGATCAATTCTTACCTTCATCATCTGGTAAGTTTTGGGCCTGAGATCTGAACTCGCCGAAGCAATTCAATACGAGAAAGCAGAGAAGAAGTGCAGAGAATAAATTGTTAGGGTTTGCTAGTAGAAGCACCGACACCATATCTTTCTCCTTCTGCAACACAACTCTTCCTCGAATGTTTGTTAGTTGTCACAGAGCAAAAGTTCGTTTCCTGACTTGTAAGGAGAAATTAAATAACACAGCCGCAGAGTCAAAATCGAAGTCCGAAACAAAGCCACAGGATTTCATATTTCTGTGAGAAAAAGTGTTGATTCGCCGCTAGAAAGGAGGATTGAATGAATGGTCCACTTTCAGAGAAAAACCAGATTGGTTAAACCGGCGATAGGAAAGGATACAGTCATATAAAGGACGAGACTTTCTTCTCGGCTGCCATAACGATCCTCCATGCCGCTAAGAGATCGTCGTTCGTAGTTGGTCGACCGTTTTAATATTAAGAGAAAATTCCTGAACAGTACCTGAACTTTGGGGTTGTGTCCAATCAATCCCCAAACATTCAAACGTGTCTCTACAATAGTTCGGGTGTCAAGCAGGTTCCCATCGTTAGTTGATCGTTACTCAACCATTAACAGTTAAATGAAATGATGGAATTGCCCTTCATATTTCGAGTAAGAGAGATTTTTAAAAACAGACAATACTACCTTTATCTAAAAAAAGGTTTATGCATCCAAGAGATATACTGTTGATTCAGAATATGAAGGACAATTCGATCATTTCACTTGGCTGTTGACAGTCAATTAACAGCAGAGAGACCTATTAGACATAAAATGAAAGTTTAGAATACTGTAGAGATACCTTTAAAAGTTTAGGGACTGATTGAATATAATTTTTAAAATTCAGGATACTGTTCAGGAATTTTTCCCAAATATTAAATATCCTGTGTTCGCTCAGTCAAACAGTAGAATTCTTGGAAACAATGTTCATGCAACCCTTTCGTTCTTTGTCCTACAGGTTAAGTAAACCGAAAAACTGACGACTACTCAAAAAAACCGAAAAACTGAATCGAATTGAGTAAACTGAACCCAGTTAATAACGGTTCGATTTTGGTTCATTTTAAATATATATTATTTATGATTATTTATTTATTATTTATAATATTTATAATAAATTAAATATATTATATATATTTTTAATATTTGTATTATATTATATTATATATATTTATAATATTTATATATTTATTTATAATACATATAATCGAGAAACCAAAAAAACTGAATCTATCAACTGATGGTATTGGTTCGATTTAGAAAATGAACCCACGGTTTGATTAACCAAACCGTAAGCATCCTACAAAACGCCAATAGAAAACCTGATTGGTATTTATTGAAAAAATCAAGTGGCAATAACCATTGGTGCATTTCTGTTGTCAGATTGGAATTTATTTTTTTACACATGCCATGCCAGAACACATGTGACATGCCCCACCTTAGAATTTTGGCACCCAAACCCCATCTAACAGGTAGGATTTATTTGGAAAAGCTTGTTCGGTTTCGTGAAACGTTTATGTATCCACCATATGAGATTCGTCTAGGGTCGGAACTCCGAGGGCATTCACCATTCATGGATCTGAACCTTGTTGAGGATAAAACAAGGCCCAAGGGGGCGGTTAGCGGTTAATGGTTAAATTTATCCACTAATTCTACATTTTCCAAATGATGAAATGGAGGTCTCTTCCACGGCTCCACTATTGTTAGTTGGACCAGACCGGATGGTCAGATGAGTTGATCTAGGAATAGGCAACCGGTTTTGTTTCACCTTAAAACTATTTTTAGGGTAAAAAACCATTGATTTGGTCAGTGATCCGTTGATTTGGGTGGTCGAACTATCGATTCGGATAATGGTTTTTTATCATTTTTATTTATTTTTTAAATCAGAACAGATCATCCATTCATCTGGATGGTCAGACTGTTTGACCTGGGAACCAATAGCTAAAACG